ATACCCAGGGCAAAGTTTCATCAAAATTCATCAAAATTTGAAATGTATGAGCCATGTGATCCCTCAGTTCCACTTCTACAAATATTTCCCATGGAAATACTCATACCTTCACAAAAGTGTACATACAAGGATGCCCATTATAAGACTATAAAATCTGAAATAATTTAAATAAGGGAATAGTTAAATAAATTATGCTACCTCCATATAATGGAATATCATGGTCATTAAAATGAAAGAGATATATAGACAGAGATACAGATACAGATACAGATATAGATATAGATATAGAAGGATGGCCCGGGTACACTGTGAAGTGAAAATGCAAGTTATAAAAGAATATAGTCAATTTGATATATATATATACATATATATATATATGTATATATATTTTAAACAAGCAAGCAAAATCCACATTCTACGAAAACTGTGTAAGTACTTCTAATGGCAAAAAACAAAAAACCCACCAAAAAACCATCCAAAAAAACCCCAAACCAAAAAACCAAAACAAAACAAAAAGCCTCTAGAAAAAATGGGTAGTCTCAGGGCTTAAGGTTTACTTCTGGAGAAGGAGATTGGAGATAGAGGTAAGGGGGCATACACTTTTTATAGTATAGTTGTTTGTATTACTTGAGTTTTTTATAAGAAAGATGGACTAATTTTATAAATAAAGAAGCAATGAAGAAAGATAAAAACAGTAACATAAAATATTTTGCTTTTTTCAAGAAATGACAAGTTTCCTTTTTTCTATCAATAAAATTCAAGTAATATACCCTGCTTCCCTTTTTGCCCTGCCTACCAGGAAATCCAGAGTCAATTCTGAAGCATAAAGACCTAAAGACCTAGAATATTTGCATTTCCCTTTCCTTTTGATCCTGCTTTTTCTATTTCCAGTTATCTAACTTTTTTCTAAACCTTCCCAGACTTGTTTTTCCAAAGAGATAGGAGTGGGTTATAAAGAAAGAAAACTCTGAGCCCCTCGCTCTGAGTAGCCCACATTTCTCTGAGTACCAAACTCTGTAGGATGGGTGTGGGCTAAATGAAAGATTTTATTTACTATTTACACTTGACACTCTGATTATTGTCACCTAGGATCTGAGGGCAAGAATCAGTACGCTTGCAGCTGTAGAGAACGCTTGGCTCTACTTTGGGATTTCACTTTGTCTCCAAATTTAAGAGCTGCAAGGATAGGAGGGAACCTCTTGTGATGAGTCTTGTCTTTATGCTTGTAGATGGGTGGGAGATCATGGAAGATTCATAAGCAAAAGAGTAACTGGATCTTAACCATGTTTGAGAAAAATAACTGGCAGAGGAAGAAAGTAGTTGGGCATGTGGAAAGGCAGAGCTACTCCCTGAGTCCCTGTGGAGAGGTTGGACAATTGATGGTTAAATGGCCACACCAATTTGAAAGGATGTATTTATTGGAAGGAACTATGCGCCACGTGTCAGTTATGTCTGGTTGGGTCACTTGGTCTGAACATGGGCCAGTTAGGCATATCAGAGGTCCAATTAGACTCAAAAACGGAAAAAAGGGGTCAAGTTTCACAGGCAGCAGTCTTAAATTCAGCAAGCCATTTCACAAAGGGGGGGTTTCATAAGCAGTTCAGGGTGAAGACATCCTTGTGGTTAGAAAAGAAGGGAAGGCAGCAGTTGTCCCAGGTCCCTTGTCAGTGGCATCTTCGTCCATTGAGAGACGGGTTTCTTTTCGCTCAGCCTGATGAAGACCCATCTGCCTCACCTCGGAAGTGGGAAGGCAGTACTAAGGACACCAGTTTGGGGTCAGACCTAGTTCAGACCTTGATTCTGTCACTTATTAACTATGTGACCTTGAGCAACCTCAGACCCAGTTTCTTCATTTGTGAGAGGGGAGGTAAAAACACCCATTTCTGTGGGTGCAAGGGTAAAATGAGGGGAGGTAAGTTAATTCTAAGAACAAAGTGTGACTTTTATCTTTTATCTTGTTTTTAAATGTTCCACTTTATACCCTTCAAAAGACTTAGGGATGAAGTTGTTATTTATTAGTGTAGGCAGCCTGGGGTATCTGTTTTAGGCCCTTGCACGTTGAAGAGCTTGCAGAATTAATAGCTGGTATGCATTCTTCCTTTAGATCTGGGGATGGGGGCCATGTAGAGGGATGACAACCACCTGCCCCTCAACCCCCACCCCCTACGTAGAGGAGCATACCCCTCCTTGCTCTCACTCCCAGGAGGCCAGCTCAGCTCTGACTCTGGCAGGAGTCTGGACCTCAGACATACCCCCAAAGGCTTCAGAGTTGCTGGCCTGGGCCGCCAAATCCACCCAGCCCTCTACTCCCCGGCAGTCTTTGAAGGTAATTCCAGTGCTTGGTGAGGCTGCTTCCATCCACCAATCAAGGTCCACTGGCTCTGTAGGTCCTGCCCACCATGGAGCAGGTGTCAAAGAAATCAAAGACTCAAAAAAACATTACTTAATACTGCTGTTATGTGTTGGGTTCTATTTCAAATACACTGGGATCAGGATTTGGTGGTTTAAAATAAAGTCCATGTTAAAACTCCTTCCACCATGCCTGACAAATATGTGGGTTCTCAGCTCTTTTTCTATTCCTGCCCGGCCCTAGATGCCCCTCAGCTACACGTGGCAGGATGCTTCTCACACAGGAGGAAGGAAATCATTCAGGTTCTAGTGAAAAATCATGTCCCGAGATGGGGAAGTAAGGCTGCTATCTTCTGACAGTTCTCCTGAAAGTGGGATTCCCTCCACTTTTCCTCCTGCTCTCTCTCCTCTCCCCTCCCCTTTGGCCAGGACACTGGGCAGTGGGAGCCTCCATGCTCCGGGGCACCGCCCACAGCCTGTGTCCCCAGCACGGCTTGGCCTGGGCTGCTCACCCACTACTACTAGCTCTGTGGGGTCATTGGAGCAGCTGGCGGGCATGCTGCCCTGACACCTCCACCCCATTCCCGCTCCCAGCTCCATCCCCACCACAGCTTCACCCCCAGGTGTCCAGTGGGACTTGCCAGTCTCCTTGCTTGGCAGCAGGTGGTGTGGGGGTGCAGAGGAGGACTGCGGTGCAATCAAAGTGCCTCTGTAGGTCAGAATTTATTCACGGGATGTCCTTGGCTTAGGAGATGGACAAACACCGGCAGAGTGTAGTTGTGTGAGTACAAATACACACATGTGTTTTTCTGGGAAAAATGTCAAAGGGATTGTGACTCAAAAAATGTTACCAAAGTAATGTTGGTATCATGTGTGTGTTATATTTCATATGCATTTGGATCATAGACTTCATGGTTAAAATAAACAAGCAGGTAAAAAAAAAAAAGTCCAAGTTAAACATCCCTCCACCATGCCTGACAAACATAGGGGGGTTCTCAGTTCCTTTTTTTTTTTAAGATTTTATTTTTAAGTAATCTCTAAACCCATGTGGGGCTCAAATTTACAACCCTGAGATCAAGAGTCTCATGCTCTACTGAATGAGCCAGCCAGGCGCCCCTCGGTTACTTTTCCCTTTTGAAACATCTGTAAGGAGTAGCCTTCTCAGAGATCCCCAGGCCTCAGGTAGATCGTTTTTGCCTTTGCTGTTGTGTCCTTCTTTAACACTCTTGGGAATATTTGCCATACAGAAGAAGCTCTATTATCTTAGTGCTCTTGCTAACAGCTGAGGAAGATGGGGAAGACTGTACATTTATTGAGCTTAACCACATGCCAGGCACCTTTTAAACTGTGTCTTTTTAAATCCCTGTGCCTTTATTTATTATTTATTTATTTATTTATTTATTTATTTATTTTGTTAAAGATTTTATTTATTTGCCAGAGAGAGACACAGCGAGAGAGGGAACACAAGCAGGGGAGTGGGAGTGGGAGAGGGAGAAGCAGGCTTCCCGTGGAGCAGGGAGCCTGATGCGGGGCTTGATCCCAGGACCCTGGGATCATGACCTGAGCCGAAGGCAGACACTTAATGACTGAGCCACCCCATAAATCCCTGTGCTTTTAATCCCATTTCACATATGAAGAAACTGAGGGAGAAGAGATCAAATAACAGCATTTGAATATAGACCTCAAAACTTTTTGGATCCAAAGTCAGTATCTTTTTTACTGCACTAAGAGTTTCCTGAGGGAAAAATTTTAATTACTGGTTAAATTTGCATTTGAATACTAAAATGCTTTTAAACTCCACTCCCTTTTGGGGGGGTGGAATAAAAGGTATACTATCGCCTAAATCATCAGCATTATAGAGGATGAGAGCTCTGAACTCCCAAGAGTCTGGGCTCTTCTGGAGTTCCCTCTCTTCATTCTCCAGTTCCATGCTGGACGTTTGGGACTTTAGGTGGGCAGGAGGAAGGGGCTTTGGATTGCAATGGTGAAAGGAAAAGCAATTTGACTCTCTAAAAGATAATACATCTTGAAGAAAGAATGTTACAGGTAAACTTGACCCAGCAACAAAATTCGGGTGGCAGGAGGGGAGGAATTTACATTTTAGAGTTTTCCACAAAGGATGGCTTCTCTGGCTGATATCCAAGAATCTCAGAGAAGTGAGTTATTGGTCTAGCTTAGGTTGGATTTCCCTAAGCCAATCAACTCTAACCTGCATGTGAGATTATGTAGGAACATGTCAGCTCCTAAGTGGCCAAGCTGGGGAGCTGTGGGAGAAGAGGAGGTAGTGCAGGTAATCCTGTTAAGGTTTCCCACATTTAGACACTAGCCAAAGCCATGCCTGGGATTTGAAGGTTAGCTGTCACTGCCATGCTGATGTACCAGCTCCATCATCAATACATTTGAATGAGTAAAAACAAGGTACAATAAGTTCTAAAAAGACTGTTCAAAGAAAATGGGGTTATGGGGTGCCTGGATGGCTCAGTTGGTAGAGCATGCGACTCTTGATCTCAGGGTCATGAATTCAAGCCCCATGTAGGGCCGTAAAGCTTACTTTAAAACAAACCTGAAAAAAAAAAAAAAAAAAAGAAGGTGGGGTTCTGAGTTTAAATGGTGAATTGAATGCATGCATCTAATTTTATTTCCTCCTAAAGCACCCTATAGCTACACTGAAGAGATTCTTCAAAGATATAAACATACAAGTACAGGAAAATAGGAGAGATGACAAGAGCAATGAAATTTTGGAAGCTGGAAAGTACATGGACAAGTAGTAACTGATTTAACAACAGACCCAAGAAAGTTGGCTTCGAACTGTAGAATCTTCAGGAGGCTCAGGAATTGGCAGCATCAGGTATGCCTAGGACTGGGGTAAAAGGTAGACCTCAAATAAGGAAGAAAAAGCTACTTGAGAAGCAACTGCATTCCTAACTGCCTTTTCTCTCTTTATGGTACCAGATGACTGTTCTTCCCCCATGCTGACAATCTGAAGGTTTTGTCTCTGTAGAGAGTAATATAGATGGTCTGAGAAGGGCTTCTTATTGGGGGGAAAATGAGCTCATATATTCCGACTCTCCAGCCTTTTTTGCTCATTTGTGTCTCAGCCAGACTCTCCACCAGGGAGGAGACAGGAATATACCTTTCTGGGAATCTGACCAGAACAAGAAGAAGATGTAAAAATACTGACTTCAGTGTTGAATACTGAAAGAGCCCACTCGGGTCACCTTAGAATAAAGTTCAAAGTCAGCAAGCCTGTCCACTTGCTCAGTGCTTTAAGTGTTTTTTAGTTCCCCATTTTTAATTAAGAGCTAAGAAATAAGGATTATCAGATACCTGAGGACAGTCCCCAACAAAAAAGATAGAGATCCAAATAAATACAAAAACAAAACAAAACAAAAAAACCACAAACACCATGGAGCAATAGTGACTATGCAGGGAGGAGAAAACAAACAAACAAACAAACAAACAAACAAACAAACAAACAAGAATTCCTATATCCTCAGATAAGAGAACACCACATATATGAAACAGGAATAGGACATTATAAGAGAGGAACATTTTTAAAAAAGATTTTATTTATTTATTTGACGCAGAGAGAGAGAGCACAAGCTGGGGGAGTGGCAGGCAGAGGAAGAGGGGCTCGATCCCAGGACCCCGAGATCATGACCCAAGCCAAAGGCAGACGCCTAACTGAATGTGCCACCCAGACTCCCTAAGAGAGGAACATTTAGAGAATAAAAAGAGCTCTTAGAAATTAAAGACATAATCATGAAATAAAAAAACAGAATGGCCAGAATGTAAGAGTAAGGATTTTCTCAGAGACTAGAGCAGAGTAGACAAAGAGGAAAGAGTAAGAGAGTGAGAGTTCTGGTCTAGAAGGCTCACCATCCAAATAATAAAAGCTCCAGAAAGAGAGAACAACATAAATGGAGCAGAGAAAATCATCTAATGAAATAATTTAAGAAAATTTCTCCTGAATGAAGAACATGAGTTGTCAGATCAAAAGGGCCTATAGAGTCCCAAGCACAGTGAATGAAAGTAGACACTCACAATGGCACACCATAAAATTTCAGAACTCTGGGGCAAAGAGAATTTATATAAACTTCTAGAGAGGAATAAACAGGTACCATAAAGGGAATTAAGAACCCAAATAACTCCAGACCTCTCCACGGTGACACTATAAATAAGACGAAGGAGCAATATTTTTAAAGTTCTGAAGGAAAGTTGTTTCCAATCTAGAATTTTATACCCAGCCAAACCATTAGTCAAGCAGGGCTGCTGTATTACACAACTCCAGGGAGCAACATTCAGATTACAGTGTTGTATAATAAAGTGGCTTACATTCAAGTATGAAGAGAGAGCAAAGACATTTTCAGATGTGCGAGTCTCAAAAGCTTATTTCCCACACATTCATAGAAAAAGACTACCGGGGAATGTGCTCTCCTAGAATAAGAGAGTAAATTAGGGAAGAGGCAGGGCTGGTATTGCTGGCATCAACCCATGCTGTTGTCCAGGCCCCAGACATAGAAGGGTCCCGTACCTGTTTGATGCTCTGTTGTGACCATCTTGAAATTCTTGATTTTTTAATAAGGGACTCTGCATTTTCACTTTTCACTGGGCCCCACAAATTATGCATTCCAGTCAGGATGTAAGAAACAGGTGATCCAACTCAGGAGTGAGGCAAGGGGAATTCTCATGAAGAGAGTGAAGGGAGATTCCAGGACAGCTATCAATCGATATAGAGGAAACTATCCCAGAGAGAAACATGAGACTCAAGAGACAGATATGTTGGTGGCTGCTATAGCCAAGTTTCCACTGTTATTTTACCCTCTTCTCCAACCTCAAGATAGAATGCTTGAATGAACCTTGCTTAGATTCTAATCTGTGTTATGACCATCTGTTGATAAAATTCCTGCTCTCTTTTCCATGCCTTGCTACCTGGATCACCTAAGGATACTCATTTCATCTCACCAAACTTTCTGCTTAACCCTGTATCTGAGAGCTGGAGGTAAGGTAGAAAATAGAGAGCATCCCATACCCTCTGACATAGTTCTGCCCGACATCAGTATCGGGCTCACCTGGCAGCCTTGCCACATGCTCTGACTGTGCAGAGCCTTGTGTCTGCTAGGACTAGCTTCCAACCTGCTCACTGACTACCCCAGAAAGGGCTCTTGTAAACTCTCAGGGGAGCTGACACTAAGGGATAATGTTGCATTCATCCCTGAGTTTTCAATTAATAGTGTAACTCTGATCTTCTTTATGCAACTACCAAATTTTCAAAACTAAACAATATGTTGTATGGGGCATAGAGTCATAGGTGGTAAAACCATAAAGAGAGCTGGGAATGATTAACATAAGAGTGTGAACTGGTAGTAACCTCTGGGTTGCCATTGAGGAGGAGTAAGTGGAGGAAGATGCAACTGTGGTAGGCTCAGGGGGCCTATGAAGTATTGTTAATATTTTATTCTTAGACTAGGCCGGGCGGTAAGTACATGAGTATTGAGTTTCATTCTCCTTTAAGCTGTATATTTTAATAAACTCTTATGAATGCATGACATAGTAAAAAATATATATATAATGAATGTCAATGCCATTATCATAGGATGAATTTAATCAGTGGCCACATTTGGCCCTTGACCTACAAAATTTCACATAGTCCTTTCATCATGGAATTTCAAATAAAAGACCTTAGACCATCTGGTCCAACCTCCTTTTTTTTTGTAACCATTATTATTTTAACTGGCCTTTGATATATCCTCATATATAGGTTGCAATACTTATAAGTTCATGTTGTTTTAAATGTTTGGTGAATTAGACTTTCTACTGGTGTTTCCGCCTTTCTCCTTCCCCTGGGTCCTTTATCTTTTTGAGGGGTGTGTACTCAAGATTTTCTTCATTGGCCTTGATAATTCCATTTTGCTCAGCTATATGGCTTGGGGTGGTGGATGGGGATACTAAAGGAGCAAACTGCTTTTTACTATCAAAGTTCTCCTGCCTTTACTTGTCCCAGAGAATGTATCCATTTGGCATTTACTCCATTCAATGCAAAGAGCTTAGGGACCTGGAATCTTTTTGCCAAATTGAGTATGAACTGACTCACTGACATATTTCTCAAATGATCCATTGGCCCAATGAGTAACATCCTGGAAGAAGCATGAGTTATTGTTAGTCACAATTATTCCTTCACCTTTCCTGGATTGTCTTTGAAGGCACCAGGCATCAGCAATATCTGTCATCAAAAGCTCTTTTGTCTGCAGTTTCTGTGATTGCGTTCAGCTTGTTCATGGCAGAGAAAGAGTTTTTCTTCACAGGATGATGGCTTTCCTTCTGTAAAAGGTATCCACTATTTAGCTCACCTGCAGAAAGGCAGTTGGCACAGGTTCTGAAGAGTGAATCAATTCCTTAGCTGTTCTTGAACAAGCCACCTTTTCTTGATAGCTCTAGAATTTTACTACAATTGCAGAAGTTGAGTAACTTGTCAGCTGGTCATTTGTAACCAATAAAACTGAAAAGATTATCCACCTTTATTTGAATTTCAGATAAGTAAACAAGATCTGTAATTCTGGAATTGTGTTAGAAGCACTGAGTGTACTATGGAATTACATCTGGACAAGATTTTGCTGTAGTTCTTGGCATTCCTGCATGAAGGAATTAAAAATCTAAGTCAGCATCATACCTATTAATTTGTTAGTTGTTTTCATGCTGCGTAATGAGTAATCTCATGCTGAGCACTGAGATATGAGAGGTATTAAAAGTTATAAAGGTTACAAGGTTATAACTTTTTGGTTGCAAAAGAAGGAAACTCTGGAACAAGCTTAATAAAAAACAGGACATTTACTATAATAAGGATACAACGGCATCACAGAAGCCAAGGACAGAAATGTGATTTACCCTTAAGAAGGGATTAGAACCAGGGTGCCTGGGTGGCTCAGACATTAAGCGTCTGCCTTCGGCTCAGGTCATGATCCCGGGGTCCTGGGATCTAGCCCCGCATCAGGCTCCCTGCTCAGCGGGAGGCCTGCTTCTTCCTCTCCCTCTGCCTGCTGCTTCCCCTGCTGGTACACTCTCTCTCTGTCAAAAATAAATAAAATCTTTAAAAAAAAAAAAAAAAAGAAGGGATTAGAACTAGGAATTAGGACCCAGGGACTCTTTTTCTCAATTCTGCCTACCTCTGCACATGTACGTCATTTTTCTCCCTCTTTGCAGATCAGCTTTTCTTAGATACTCAGCAGAACAAAGCCACTCCTCTGTTGGTTCTATGTTAGTCAGTATAGTCTAGGATATGTTGAAGCAAAAAATACATCCTAATCCATATTTTTTTCCCTTACTCGTGTCACAATTTTCTATGCAATGGATAGCCCCTCTCCATCTTATAGCTATGCCATCTAATCATGTGACCTCCAAGGGCACTGTGGTGGGGAAAAGAAAGTGGAGGGATATGAGGGGTATTTTCAACAGCCAACCCTAAATGTGGCTTGTCATTTCTGTCCATCTTCCAATGGCCAGAACTTTGTCACATGGCTCCATTCTAACTGTTCAGGAAACCGGGAAACGGAGAGGAGCCTATGGATAGTTAGTGAGCACTAATAGTGTCAGGTACATCTCTAGTCAACAGACAACTGAAACCAATTAGTCAAAATCCTGTTTCCCCAGAGTTTCTCTTAGTCCAAACTCTAAATTGCTAGAGAAGAAACTCTGGCCCAGCTTTGGTCAGAAGTCCACTCTGATCCAATATGCTCCGTCTTAGAGAGAGGTTCGTATTGAACATGATGGTTGTCAGATTCCCACCACTTCCACAATGTGACTCAAGTGTAGAAAGGAAGGACAATACTCAGAAAGAGTAGGTTCTTCAGACAATTAGTGTCCACTACCTGGAGGCATGTTTTATTTCTGAAGCCTTGGGGAATTAGTCACTCCCTTAAGCTAGGTCTCAATAATGATATCTGTATTTTATGGAATTCTTTATTTTATTTTATTTTTAAATTTTTAAAAGATTTTATTTATTTATTTGACAGCAAGAGAGACAGCGAGAGAGGGAACACAAGCAGAGGGAGTGGGAGAGGGAGAAGCAGACTCCCCGCCGAGCAGGGAGCCAGATGCGGGGCCTGATCCCAGGACCCTGGGATCACGACCTGAGCCGAAGGGAGACGCCTAACGACTGAGCCACCCAGGTGCCCCTGGAATTCTTTATTTTAAACATGAAAATATAGTGAACCTGCTTGGAAGAATTAGGACTTCCTGCTTTTCTCTCTAGATAATTGCCTATTAAGACCTACCTCTGGAAATAAGACACTTGAGTTGTAAGAGACATATGAATATCAGACATACGAATATGGAAATAGTTCTTCCTGATCTAGTTGAGAGCTCCTAGAATATAAAGGTAGCACTGGAGTCCTTCCAACTGGACCCCCCGCAGTAGTCATTAGGGTTGTTTCAAATATTCCCATTCTCTTCTTCAGGATATGTGGTAAGAGTGCACTTCCTTTCCTTTTTTATAATTAGACGTGGACATATGACTTACTTCACCCAATGAAGTAGAAACAGAAATGACATGTGTCACTTGCAATCAGAGGCTTTAAGAACCAGTGCATGAGGCGCTGTATTTTCTTCTCCCTGCTGAGGAAATTATAAAAACATGTGTTGAGATGGAATTGCTCAGCTTGGATCCCCCTGCCTCCGCGTGCTGGACATTGAGCGTGAGCAAACAATCAACTTTTGGTATGCTGAGCCACCGAGACTTTGGGACTGTTTGTTACTGTAGACAGCCTAGTCCATTCTGTCTGCCACACCTCCATTCACAGCCATCCCTACCACAACGGACCTCCCAGCAATATGTACAATCTTATGCAGTGAGCCTGCTCAAAGCAGGGTCCTCTTCCTTCTCTGTGCTGTCCCTGGGAGGGCCAGCTGTGTGTGTGGTTTCTGCCTGCTTGGCAGTGGCTGTGATGCTCCAGTCCATTCGTAGGGCCTCTCGTTGCAAAAGCCCTCTGAATTATAGGGCCACAGACTTAAACTGGAAAGATCTTTGGATGCGGAGGACTACAGGATAGATTATATTTGAAATAAATATTTAGGCACTGTTCACTGCTGCCACATTCCAGAAGGAGAGGCTGATTCCCTATGCTCACCGCAGACTCCCTGACAGACTCTGCTTTGTTAAAGATTAGATAAAGAAGAAGTGCTAACCGGAGAGCAAGGAAGAGCAGGAGACACTGCTGTGGTTCAGCACAAATAAAGCCGGCTTGTCTCACGGTGGCAGCTGTATCGTCCTTCAGAGGCTCCAAAACAACAAGCCACACTTTTGCTCACTTTCTAACAAGCTTTGCTGAAAGCTGCTCTCAGGTCAAATGGAGAGTTGGGCAAATCTGATTACTTGTTAAAGGACCGAATTTTACTTTAGTCATTAAAGATAAGAGAATTAAAGAGATATATGGAGATCAAGAGGAAATTCTACGGGCTCTCATCTTAAGATGAGAATGACAGATGATCACAGTGCTTTCCTAGAATTTTGGGGGGGGTTTTCCCCTCTCTTTTAAAATACTTGTTATGTTTGCTTTCAAGGGGGTGCTTAACAAAAACAAGGCCCAATGGCTGGATGTTTGCTCCTGGAAACAGCTCCCCCAGGCTGTTCCTGCTGCCTAGAATTTCTTCTGTCTTTTCCCTGAGGTACTCTTGATTTTCTAGAGGCTCTAATTTTTTTCAACAGTGATTCCCTTGCAGGAGAAGCAGGGACCCCTGGTGGGGGCGGGGGAGAGGTGATCTTAGGAGGGAGGAATGGAATAGAGATTGTGTTCATTTTCTAGTTGGGGCCATACATACTACATCTAACACACATTCTGAGGCAGGCTGAGGACCTTACATGGATATCCTACATCTATGCCTTGCAGCAGTTCACAGTCCAGGTCCTAAACATCTTTGCAGAAAAGGAGTGTTTTCTGTTATGAGACATGCCTGATTAGATCCAAGTCAAACATGAATCAATGCAGAAAATGAGAGCTATAGAGCGTGCATGATATTCATGTCAGTGCAGCCCTCAGCTGACGTTGGGTTGCCTGAAATGACTTCATGGTGATTAGCACTATCTCTAGTGAACACTAACTGTGCTAATGATGCCCCCTCTAAAACAAAGCCTGGTGTGGGAAGAGAAGGTTGTATTTTAGTGGATCCCCAATTATGCCTGAGTCACTGTTACTGGAGGTAAGACTCATTCTTAGAATATTGATTCCACAGTCTATAGAAGTACCAAAAATACAATCTTGAAATCTGAAACAAGGTAAATATATTTATACTATATAATAAATATAGTATATAAATATAAAAATAGTTTAATTTATACTTCAGGACTTCAGTAGGCCATCACTCAAGTTACATATCAAAAGGCTTTAGCTAGAGTTTCACCAGCTTCTTGCCTCTGCTTCATTTGCACAAACATAAAAGGAATGTGCTGGTCTTTTGATTTTTATTTTAAAAACAGAAATTGGAAGAACTTGTTGAGAATATTTGATACGACCAAGCTCAAGAACAGTCAGAGAATTGTCTCCTTGGCAAAAGTTGGGGTTGGGATGGGCTTAGTCAGCACCCTGGGCACTCAGCGCTCTTCAGAGAGACCAGTACTCGAGGGCTGCTTGGTGGGAGGAGTGTACAACGTCATTAGTCCCTCGGTGTAAACAAAGAGTGCCTTCAATGGCTATTTTGTTTTCTGCTTCGTCAAAGAACAAGGATAAAGAGTATGCTACCCATGATTAATTCTGGAGAAAAAAATTCCATGCAACTAGAATTTTTTCCAAGATTTAAGACAAAACAATATTTTTAGCCCATATCAAAACCCTCTCAGGACAACTGATATTGTGCACTGTGGAGAGTGCTTAGGAGAATGTGCTATTTGTTCTCATCCTTTTCCAGGCTTTGTCCTCATGGCAAACTTCAAGGCCAGCAAAAGACAAAGGCAGAGGCAAGGCTGCCGCTGGATAAATGGTGAGTGGGCAGCATGGGGTGGAGCACAGAAGGGATTGAGGGGTGAGAAGTGGGGGTTGGTCACCAATTATAAGCTGTAGGACTCTGAGTCAGTAATTTAACCTTATAGATCTCAGTTTCCCCATCTGTAAAAATGGGTGGTAAGACTAGATCAGGGGTCCCAAACTTCTCTGTGAAGCCTTCTCTAATTGAGCAGGTTGTATTTCTACTTCCTTTTTGATACATCATTTTAAACTCCCTAACCATGACATTCTCTTAGACATAATTCTTATTTAATACATACAGATGTATATTTTATCAGCAACTGTAGACTTTCAGTCCTGGAATATGTAAATTGCAGATCACTCCTTTCATGGATAGCTAGGAAAAGAGAAATGGAAGTTGAAAGTAGAGAGGAACTAAAGCAGAGACAAAGATTTTTGAAATGAGGGGCGCCTGGGTGGCTCAGTTGGTTAGGTGTCTGCCTTTGGCTCAGGTCATGATCTTGAGGTCCTGGGATTGAGCCCCGCGTCGGGCTACTGGCTCAGCAGAGAGCCTGCTTCTCTCTCTCCCTCTGCTGCTCCCCCTGCTTGTGCTCTTTCTCTGTCTCTCTGTGTCAAATAAATAAATAGAAAATCTTAAAAAAAAAAAAAAAAGATTTTTGAAATGAAAGATTGGGCAGGACCAAGGAAAACAAGCAGTAATAATCCAGGGCTTTGAAAGCACTTCCTGTAGTTTGAGTGGGGAGAATAGGGGAGAAATGCATGTACCTGGCATGAAGTTAAAATGGGCAGATCCAGGACTGCAAAACTCTGGGTATTGCTGGGGGATCAGTTCTCAAAGGTTTTTCTCCAGCCTCCAACATTTCTTGAGAACCCAGATATTTTAGGAGGCAGAGACCAGGAGCTGGGAGTCAAACTTCCTCCTGGGTTTAGTTCCCCCCCAAAAGCAGAACCTGAATCAAGGATTTTAAGGCAAGCTGTTTGTTTAGATGTCATACAAGGTGTTAATGAACACATTACTGCTATGGTCAACTAGGACCCAATCCCTCTGGAGACCTCTGGGACACTGTATGGCCCCCACCTTAGTCCTGCCACCTAAGAGGTGAGAACTGGTGCGTTTTTCTACCAACTCTCTTTTGCTCCTGGAGGTATTACATTTGCAGCACTTCTAGCCTGTCCCTGACCAAGTCTGCTTCTGCTACTGGGAGAAGCCCTCAGGCAAAGTCACGGATACTTGTTAGGAAGCCCTTGGTGTGTAAGGAATGGGAGACCGGATATTAGTGTGTCTGATAGAAACCACCAAGTCATAAAATAAGACCTTGAACGTTCAGAGGAGGACCAACCCCTGAAAGAATTCTTCTCGCTATGGATATTTTTTAACAAGCCTGCAAAATGATTTGTAAATATCTTAAAGAAACTACAGGAAAAAGGTCCTGAAAGGTATCTTGCTAGTGAGTATGAAATGGCAAAGTTAAGATGTATAAAAGTCATATTTATTTTAGTACATGAGAACATAATTCTAATGGCTTTCAGAGGTTTATTCCAAGTATCATTTCCCCTAATGTGATTTCTGTCATAGTGATTTAAGTTCTTGAACCATAGGCCTTCTGCCTCAAAGTTCTTAAGAACGTGGTCTCCATAATTGAGGAATGACTTGTGTACAGCCTTTTTTATTTCATTTTTTATTTGTATATTCAATCCCATTAGAAACTAAATTCTTTACAGTAATGCAGCTCTCTGAACTTTTCATAGCACTGAGAACAACTTCTTAAACATAGTAGTTCTTCAGTAATCTTGATGCCTTTCTAAATTTTTTTAGTATTTGCACAGTTGTATTCCCAAAACCATTAGGGAAAGACATAAATTTGTTTGTTTGTTTGTTTTAGAGAGGGGGGAGGGGCAGAGGGAGAGAGAGAGAATCTTAAGCAGGCTCCATGCCTAGCATGGAGCCCAACGTGGGGCTTGATCTCACAACCCTGAGATCATGACCTGAGCCAAAATCAAGAGTTGGACACTTAACTGACTGAGCCACCCAGGCACCCCATAATGATATAAATATGTAAGGGAAAAATATGTTCTGATGACAAATGGTCGAAGACATGAACATTTCACATAAGAGGAAGAGGTTCACACAAAAACAGTAAACATATGTGAAATATACCAAGCCCCTCTAATAACTTGAGTTGATGGAATCTGTCATTTGGTCTGGCCAGAGCCCTTCTGTTTAGCACCCTCCCTTGGGGTTAATGCTTTTCCTTCCCCTCCAGATAAATGACTCTGACTGGGACCACCAGTTACGTGGCCAAACTCCCTGGCCACAGTTGATGGCCTCAGGAGTAAGCAACTGACCCAAACCAGGCCAATAAGACTCCTTTCCTGGGAATGTGGAATTGATAATGACACGCAGTCACTGTCAAAGGAAGCCTGGGAGCTCTCAGGGGCCAGGTTTCCTCCTGGGGGGGGGAAGGGGTAGCCAGGTTGAAAAATGAAACTCATGCACAGAGAAGAGCAGATGCCAGAGACAGAGGGAGGAAACAAGCATCCGGCTATACCCTACCTTTCCTTCTTGTAAACGGTTGAGGTGTTTTACTTGAAACCAAGGGCTCCGTCTATTACAATAGAAAAATACAAACATAATAAATGTAAGGTAGGATCCTTGTAGCAAAAAAATAAGAACAACAATACACAAAGATGAAAATTTGGAAGCATCTGATGATTCTGTAAGCTAATGTTCTTTATCTGGAAAGCATCTTAAACATATCTGACATGAATCAGAGACTAAATCTTTAAAATTCACAACCCTGAGCTTCTAATTCCATGATTAATAGAAATGATCAAATACTTTGTCCAAATTATAGTAACTTGGGTAGATGAAAACAAGGAAATCAGCATTTGCTGAATTTTAGAATGCAACAAACAGTATGCCAAGAAATGTATATAATTAATAACTACCATTATTTAGGGGCGCCTGGCTGGCTTGGTCAGTAGAGCGTGTGACTCTTGATCTCGGGGTTGTGGGTTCAAGCTCCACATTGGGTGTAGAGATTACTTAAAAATAAAATCTTAAAAAAAAAATCCCTACCATTATTGAACATTTATGATGGGTGAAGCATAGTCCTAATGGTTTACATGTATCTTTATCTCATATAATTCTCCCATTAATCATGTGAGATGAGTACAACTTTATTCCTATTTTTTAGATTAAGAAACTATGTCTCATAGAGGTTAAGTAATTTGCTCAAGTTCTCGCAGAAGGCGAGTGGCAGAGCCAGGATTCAAGCACAAAGCACAGTCGGGCTACCAGCACCCACACCCTTAGCCATACATTATATATTACCTTGTTTCACTCTAGAAAATGTATCACAGACCGAGGAGGTAATTCAAAGGAAAGAAAAGGCATATGGATGGATGTGTGTAGCGATACTCATTAGTACATCTACAAACTAGAAATGGTCTCGCCATCCAACACATATCTATAGGGAAATAAGAACACAGCAAGTCAAATGTGATACATTGATACAATAAAACATTATGTTGCTGGTAGGAATGATAAATATGAGAAACGTAGACAATGGGTTGAGGACTACAGAAAGCAATAGCAGATGAGAAAAAAATGTTTAATTCAGAATGATAAATATTGGTTTCTAACAATTTGCACAATTATTTTTATGCAAGCAATAGAATGGGAAAAGTCTTCAGGGTTTATGAAAACATGGAGATTTGAGATTTTTTTAAAGAAAGTTCATGTTGCTTTCGTTACTTAGATATTCCTATTTAACTTCCATTGTAAAGTTGATTAAATACCCAATTAAAAGCAAACTTATTAAAAATTCAAAGTAAAATTAATGGAAGAAAATTAAAAAGAGAGGTTTATGAGATTAAAAAAGATTTTTTATTAGGAAAGCCTCATTTGAAGAACATAAATAAAAATGAGAAGGACTGCATAATGTACTAAGAAGAGAAAAGAGTATAAAATGAAGAAGTAAACTCACATCTGCTTGCTCGTCCCTAATCTGGTGCAATTCTACCTGCCCCTTAAAGTCTTGTTACAGTGCTGCTATCCTGAGGCCCCTCACCAGAAGCTTCCTCTAAGCAAACATGGTGCTTCATTTGTCTCTCTCTTACGGGCTTGCCCCATTTCCACCTTGTTTTAGAGCTGTGTAGTTAGCCCTCTTCTCAACCACAAGCTTTATAAAAGTAGGAACTATGTACCTTCAACATCTTTGTAGGCCCCAGTTGCCCCATGTTAGCCACAAACATGTGCTTGTTAGATGAATAAGTGTTCTTAGAAAGGGACAAAAGACTTGGAGGCATAGTTTGGAACAATAAGCAACTGTGGTTGGGGACATGAGAATGGTTGTCCTTAAGAACTCTTAAGTAACCAGATTGAGGAGGTGAGTGTTATAGTTCTGGTGAACTCCAGAAGACAGCAGAAGCATAAAGTGATTTTGATTTCATGAGGTCTGTGGCCAGTATATCTGGAGATGATCATAAACTTTGATTTATGATTCCAGTTGGCAGAGAACATTGAAAAGAGGAAAGTTGAAGAAAGAGTTAGTGGGAATAGAAGTTAGAGCAGAAATTTCAGAGGTGTTGTTCTAAAGAGTTCTTGTGGTCTTCAGCTCATAAGGGCCAAGGCCCTTCTTTTTATGTTTATTAAAAAAACAACAACAAAACCTTTATTGTGATGAGCACTGGCTGATGTATGGAATTGCTGAGTCACTATATTGTACACCTGAAACTAATAGAACACTGTGCGTTAACTGCAATTTAAATAAAAACTTTTTTAAAAGCCTTTAATCATAGTGAGTTCAGTAGAATGAGCAAAGTGGATCGGACGTTCTTTCACACACACACACACACACACACACACAGAGTTTCCTTGTCATGCCAATGACGCCATTGTGGGGGTTTTGTTTTGTTTCGTTTTGTTTTTTACCAAATAGGAGAAGACACACAGTGTCAAAGAATTCTTATTTGAGTTCCAAGAGGCCCAAGGATTTTAAACCTACTTCACCCTGACTGTGACTGTGAAGGCGAGGTAGTTCTGATTCAGATGGTATACAAAATATCTGCTGGTTCTTCCTTTCCTTTTTGTCTACAGGATGTACAGGAACACCTTGCAAATTGGAATTGTAAGCTCTCTGAGTTCAGGAACAAGGTCACAAATTATATACACAGTGTCTGAACAATCCAAGCTTAAATATTTACTAATATGATTTTATCTACTACCAGTCACAAAGACATACATTCTCCTAATACTCTTCTGTAAACAAATAATTCCTGTACCTTGCCCATTAAAAACATGGAGTTCTCTTTAAAAACTTTTTTCTTTGGGTAATTTTTGGCTTATTTTCTGTCTTCCCTCACTAGAATATAAGTCCATGAGAGCAGAAGTATTGTCTGTTTTGTTCAACTATGGTACCCTCCAGAGCCTACAACAGTTCCTGTTGCTCAGTAAGTACTGTGTGCTGAATAAGTGAATGAATGAAATGGTTGAATGACCAAGCATTGTTCTGGTTGTGGCTTTAAAGACTTTTGTAAATATTAACTTGAATATCTTACAGGAACACACACGTGTGGCTCTTCAGTGGCCTTCCCTCCCCTACCATTCTTCCCCACCAACTGATCAGATAAACTAATTAATAGTTGGCCAGCTATGCATTAGGATCCATCTGGCTCTCGCTGAGTATAAAATGAAAATGCTTTGCTTTTACAAAAACTTATGTGGGGAACTTACATTTCAAAAAATACGTTTGTAATACCGAAGTGTATTTTGTTTTATTAAATCCAGATTGCTGGGTGGAGTCCCTTAGCTAAAAGTCACTCTCAAGCAAAATGAATTGCTTGTTATTCTCACAAAGAATTTACAGGAAGCAATTTGTAAAGGTTGCCATCAGGCTGAAGTCATTGTTGGCACAAGGAATCAAATGTGTCATCAACCTCGGAGCAATAGTTTAACCTGGGTCTGCTCAGAGAAATCTCCATAATGCAAGGAAAATTGAATTCTACTGCCTCAGATGACAATCACTTTTGATATTATTCCAATTCGATCATGAAGTTAAAAATATTTGACATAAAAGTTTCTCTCATCCTGCCACTATGTAGAAATACCGATTTTAAATGTGCTAAACACTGGTCCTGCCATTACCAGTTATTTCACAAATAGTTTTTTAAAAATCTGCTCTCCTTTCCTCATTGTACTCAGGAAGTTGCTATAGGGAAGCTAGGAAATGAATGGCTTGCCAACTTATTTGGCCCAGTCCATCAAGTAACCTGTCTGCTGGTCAGGTGATAATAGCAAAAAAAATTTCTACTCATCTTGAAGGACTGACTATCCTCCAATCTAGGTGACAGATGGGCAATTGTTCTGGATAAGCCTATGGGGGCCTCATAACAGCAGAGAAACCCTGGATCCAGACATGCTGTGAAGATGGACAGTTCGGTGCTCCTAATTCCTGTCAATGTGTTTATTTTCATCACTCTGGGAAAACAGGGCTAAAAAGATGGAAACACATAGATTCACAACATTAGCAAATATTAGACTAGTTCTCTATGTTTCCAACACTAGTTTCCAAAGACAAAGAGGAAAGCAAGATCTTGACAAAACCACACTGATCATTTTTTAGCCTTATCCAAATGATGCTCAACTCATTTACTGATTCAGCAAAAAGGTATTGAATGCTGTGAGCCATCAGCACCAAGTAGACAGAAAATAATGCAGAACACCTACTGCATTACTCCCTTACCACTGAACGACTTTGAATGAGTGTTTCCTTCACTACACACTGGGAACAATCATCTACGGATGTTAAAATCCCTCTGACTGTCTCACATGGAAAATGCAGCAACCATCAAGTCTGAGTGCTTAAGGAGGCTTCACTCCATTGAATAGTTATCCTAGAAAAAGACTGACAAGAAGTATGTGGTCCTCTCTTTCTTCTCTCCAAACACAATCGCCCTTTGTTTAGCAGCTCAGTCTGCTGTTTGTAAGTCCTGTCATTCAGCACCCTGGTCTCTCGGCCTCCCAAGTTGAACAAGATTTCTTGATTGAGTCAAGCCATTCATTTGCTGATTGTCCCAGACCAGTGTGGCCTGCTGGCTGCTATCACCCTCCAACAGCTAATGCATATAGTATGACATGATTTGGCCTGAGAGCACTCCACAGCCCACCTGTTGTCCCCATCTCTTGTCCATTCCACAGCTGATTAGGCAGCCTCCTGTCCAGGGTTCTTATGCATCTGGGCCAAAGAAATTAATTTGCGCTCATCATTCCTAGTTGCAGCTGGCTAATTGGACTCTAGGGTCACTTCCTTGTCTTATAGAATTAATCAACGTCTACTTAGTTAATTATTGCAATATTTGTTCAACAAATATCTATCGAACATTTACTATGTGCCCGGCACTATGCAAGGTGCAGAAGATACAATAGGCCATGCAAGTTCCAGTAACCTAAAAATTTAACGTAATTCTTTAATTTCTACCTAGTTTTCCTATTTTTAAGTTGAATAAATGTTTTTAAAATTAGGTGTGAAACCATGATCCCTCCCCTTGTAATTTTTTTTATTGCTTCAAAGTCAAAGAAAATGATCATATCTCTTGAGATTTGATCAACATTCGCTCACTCTTATTTATTTGCTTATTTATGTGTTTAAAGGTAGTTAGTTACTTAAAACGTCTGGAATATATTTGGGGGCTGTTATGAAATATTTGATCTAAAATAATTTAATTCAAATTTCTAATGAATGATTTCCACAAATGTGTATTTAAAAATAATCTCTATTGTTTTGTATTGCACTTGGTCATTTCTTTTTTTTTTTTTTTAAAGATTTTATTTATTTGACAAAGAGAGACACAGCGAGAGAGGAAACACAAGCAGGGGGAGTGGGAGAGGGAGAAGCAGGCTTCCCGCGGAGCAGGAAGCCCGACGCGGGGCTCGATCCCAGGACCCTGGGATCATGACATGAGCAGACGCTTAATGACTGAGCTGCCCAGGAGCCCCATCACTTGGTCATTTCTTAATCCTTATATACAACTGGGCTTATTTCTGAGGCTTCTCTTCTGTTTCACTGACTTATATTTCTGTTTCATTTGCTCTTTCTCATTTTTAGAATATTTTTCTTATCCTCGCCTCTTTACTGAATATTATAACATTCTTTAAATTTAAAGAGAAGTCCATTTTTATTTTGAGTAGGATTGCACTAGATTTAAAAATAACAGTAAGAATTGATATCTTTACAGTATTTTATTCTTTCTAGATGTTACTGCCCAATAAGTTTTATTATTTTAATAAACACTTCCTATTAAGTCTATTTCTCTTTATATTTTATTGCTATTGTAAATTGGATCTCTTTTTTAAATTAAGCTTTTCTAGTTTGTAATTATTGGTATTCAAGAATCTTAATGGCTTTTTTATATTTTATGTTTTATCTGGCCATTTACTATTCTATTAAGCCTAAAAATTCTAGCAGATTCCTTGGGCATTTTGTTAGATACATAATCAATTGTCTTCAAATAGTGCTGTTTTTGTTTCTTCCACTATTTCTCTCTTTTAGTTTTGTTTCATCTCACTCCTTACACTGGCCTGAGCTCCCAAAACAATATTAAGTCAAAATGATGATAGAGGGCATGTCTCTAGTAAGATCATCTTAAATACTCTCTTCATGCCTTAACCTAGTCAACAAAACTGAGTGGGGCAACAGCGATGACAGAAAGGTGGGATCTAATACTGCTGTATGAAAAACTTGGCCTTTCATAAATTTAATAAATGTGACTAACTTATGCTTCTTGGTCTCTTGGCTGAGATCTAGTAATTATGATATTATGGTTCTATTAGTAAAATTTAATCAGGAACTGGAAATAAGATGTTTGTCATAAGTTGAAGCTTTATTCTAACTCAGGTTGACATTGCTATACCTATCACAAAATTATAGTTTGAATGTCAGATTTCTTCCAAAAATCATATTTCATGCTGATTTAAAAGGCTATGTAGCTAAGGAATAAATTATGATTTTGAATAGCAATATCAAAAATATTCATTCTTCCAATGTGCTGTGCTTCTAGAAAAAGCTACTAGAAGTCAAAATTACATGAGATAAGCTGAGTTTTCCCATAGAAATAATAGTATAATGAATTCAGAATTGAATTCATAACATAAGTGTCAAATATCCAAATTTTCCTAGCAATGGCTACAAGCACCATGTTAAATAAAATGTAAATGTTACAAAGTTTGTTAAGTTTATCTATAAACTATTTATTTATTGACTAGGGCAACACAGTTATCTATCATGTGACTTCATATTTCCTAGAGCATCCTCATATTCTGCATACATTTCTCATTTTGGGGGGTCATTTCTTCCTATTTTAAATGAAGTAAGTTAAAGGTGAAGGAACACGTTTACCAAGGTCATAAATTGCAGAAGGGCTTTGGAATGTTGGTTTAGAGTTTGGACGGAGGTTTTGGAGTAAGACATATTTGGGTACAAAGCCTGGTTCTGCCTATTATTCATTTAAAAATATTTAGGGAGTTCTAGGGGCCCCTGGGTGGCTCAGTCATTAAGCGTCTGCCTTCGGCTCAGGTCATGATCCCGGGGTCCTGGGATCGAGCCCCACATCGGGCTCCCTGCTTGGCAGGAAGCCTGCTTCTCCCTCTCCCACTCCCCCTGCTTATGTTCTCTCTCTGTCAGAAAAAAAAAAAAGATTAAAAAAAAATAAAAATATTTAGTGAGTTCTAGATCCTAGGGATACAACAGTAGACAAAACAGACAACATCCTCAATCTCGTAGTGTTTACATTTTAGTACCACTTTCTGGCCATGACATTTAAAAAAAAATTTTATTGAAATTCTAGTCAGTTAACTTACAGTGCAGTATTGGTTTCTGGAGTAGAATTCAGTGATTCATCACTTACATACAACACCCAGTGCTCATCATAACACGTGCCCTCCTCAATACCCATCACCCATCCAGCCCACCCCCACCCACCTCCCTGGCCATGACATTTTAAAAGTTTTTTTTTTTAATATCTCTGGGCTTCAACTTCTTCATTTGTAAAGTGAGAATAAGTTAAATTAGGTAATGTCTGTAAAGCACATATCAGAACTCAGTGATGGTAGCTGGGGGTTGTCTGGCTGGTCAGTCGGTAGAGCATGTGACTCTTGATCTTAGGGTCCTCAGTTTGAGCCCCACGTTTGGCACAGAGTTTACTTAAAAAAAAAACAAAAAAAAACAAGGGTGCCTGGGTAGCACAGTCGGTTGAACATCCCATTCTTGGTTTCAGCTCAGGTAGTGATCTCCAGGTCGTGAGATTAAGCCCCATATCGGGCTCCAAGCTCACATGGAGTCTGCTTGGGATTCTCTCTCTCCCTCTCTCCTCTCCTTCTGCCCCTCCTGCTCAAGCTCTCTCTCTCTTTCTCTGTCAAACAAATACATCTTTAAAAAAAACAAAAAACCTGGGAT